TAGTAGTATGTAGTAGTATGTAGTAGTATGTAGTAGTATGTAGTAGTGTGTAGTAGTGTGTAGTAGTATGTAGTAGTATGTAGTAGTATGTAGAGTAGTACTAGTAGTAGTAGTCGTCGTCGTCGTAGTCGTCGTAGTAGTAGTAGTAGCAGTAGTAGTAGCTGCTGCTGCTGTTTCCTAGGGGGGTTAGACCAATGGCCACTTTGGCTGCTTCGGGTGGTCGTGCTGCTGTTTTTGCAAAGTGGGATAGACCGTCAACCAAGAAACCCACTAATGGGCAATTCGCTCAAACCCACTGATCCGTAAAGAGCCCTAGTCCGCCATCCGGTAGCCGTCCCTGAGCGCGACGTCTTCAATAAAGTTTGGTCATTGCTTGCTGCACTTTCCACAAGTTTAAACTTGCTGAAGGAAACAGAAAACGATAGAAACATATTCAGAAGAGATGGCAAACAACAAATTGAGGTCCATACCTGGAACTTCCTCAGAGTGCCTTTTTTTCGATCTGCGGCGTGAAAAACATCTTTTGGAGTCACAGCCTTATATTTATGTTTCTCTAGTTTTCTGTTGTTTTTTATGATATTCCACGGGCATTTATAAACAAGCTGTATTGGTGAGCCACAGGCGTTTTTCCCGAACGTGTTTCTTAAGCGGATGTCTATTTTGGTTGCGGATGTTTATGTGGTTCACTACCGAACGACCGACCAACAACACACGCTCTTCTAAGAAGTTGCAGGTATGAACCACCACCGTTGGGGGATTGTACCATCTGAAAGCATTTTAGAAACCCAATGCACTCTACAAGTAGGGGGGGCTTCTGAAAAAAATCCAGCTTCGGTTACTGTCCCTTCTGCATGCCTGCGAGCTCGATGGGCCCGGAGACCACCTGGCGGCGAACGCGTCTCAGTGAGACCATTCTCTACACCGACCCGTCGTACATCAGGAGGTATGACTGGACCCAAACACATGGCACCCGGGCCCCGGTCGTCCCACCGAAACGAAGCTCGGTACGACTGGAGGCCTAGGGATTCAATCAAAGTACCCGCCATTCCCTATGGATCCACTGCCACCGAACCTCACAAGGAAATTGGACCCTCCAAGCACCTTCTCAGAAGGTATGTGGATCCATAGGGATTGATCCAATTGAGTGGTCTGGCTGGCGCGCACGAGAGCGTGCTGTGACTTTCACCAAGCACTTCTTCATGGAACATGGCCAGGTAAGGAAGACTGTTTTTCTCTACTGTTCCAGGCCATTTTCCACTTCAATGATTGTTGGAGGGAGGGTACAACATGGTATAACTGAACTGGAGATCCCAGTGGCTAGTTCGGTCACGACTCGTCGACTTGTCCCTGAATGATGTCGCAATGCGACAGTCTCGGGCTGAAGGTCCTGGAAAAGACACGACTGAGCTGGGCGCCGTTCGGTAGAAACTCGGTCGACCGAAATGTGGAGCGAGCAGGGTTCCAGCTCCACACCACCCTCAGTGGTTGTCTGACCGGAGAACCATCATGCCCTGGTGCCTGATTTCTACTCCCCAAAACCGCCCTCCTCTTTCATCTCCAAACAAGAAGTACACCGTGCTGAAGGGTCTAAGGTCTGCCCAAAACTCGACAGGAGCACATCAATGGATATAGGATGAGAAGTACTCAGAAGTACGGCTGAAAATCCTACTCCTTATTCAAACAAGATCTGCCATGTAGTTCGTTGCTGATTGATCTGGGAAATTCCGTGAAGTTGTGTTGTAGAAACCAGCTCTCCGTGGAAAGAATCCAAATCAATTCCCAAACAATCCATGTACGACCTTCAGTCCGTGACCTCTTTGGAGTCTCTGTTTGTGACCTTGTACAGACCTAAGTGACCTCATCCTGGGATATCAAGTTAGGTCACTTTGAAGCTCCTGGTATGATCATGTATGGCATCAACAACTCAGGAATTGGGGTGGTTTCAGGGGTGAATGTGTGTACACATGGAGTGCCTGGGATTAATCATCGCGGCCAAAAACGCGTGGAAGTGGAGGGTCCACTGGACCACCGTGTAGAAGACAATGGTCCTTTCTAGGAGGCCACCACTTCCATGATTGTTGGGTTCGAACGTCACACTCACAGCACACTCACATCAGACCATCCCGGCCCCAGTGCCTCTTCCGCTTCCGGCCATCTCCTATCGAGATCGAGAGCCGCTGGCAGGCATCACGACGGCTGAGTGTCTGAACCCATTGACCCAATGGGACTGGCACTCCATGAGACTGGCATATTGACCGATCAGGTATGGGTGGTTGACCGATCTTGTCAATGTATGCATACAGTCCAGTCCCATGGTCTGGGATTGACAGAGGTCCTGAAATACTTACCAACAATTTGCAACACATTGTTGAAAAAGGAGGGTCACTCATCTAGAGGGTCAGCAAACGAGGACAGGGTGCCCCGCCACCAAAGACCGGTCAGGGTGGTATCGCTAGTTGAAAACTCGCCGGAAAGCATGAATTCAAGAGTGGTTTCGCTAGTAGGTTGGTGGCCATCGCTGTTAGAAACAAACAAAACACTAAACTCTTCTTCAAAGTGACCTTTTAAGGGTTCCTAATGTGACCCTTGGGAGGCTTAAGTGACCTGAAATTAGGATATCAAAAGGTCACTTGGAAGCACCAGGTTCAGAAAGGTAGTTTGCTATTAGGTTGGAGGTGGTCAAACCGTGACAGCAGTTCCATGTCCAGGACGGGGCACCAGTTGTCTGGGCACCTGCCCTTCTCACATCCACGGCCCCTTTGCTTCATGAGACGAGCCACACCACACCACACCACCCCCAGGTAGCTCCAGGTAGCTCCAGGAGCGTCTGGTCCCCTTGGAGTTGTCATCCCCGATTACCCGATCACTGACTTTGACAAATGCTGGCTGGAGCCAGCACAACAGGGTCCAAGACCTGAGCCCTTCGTGATCTCTTTGAAGTCTCTAAGCGACCTCTTCGTGACAACGAGTCGTGACCGAACCAGCCACTGGGATCTCAAGTTAGGTCACTTTGAAGGTCCTCCATGATGGTTCTTCATTTGACGGTTGGCTTTGACGTTGGCTTAGGGAAGTTTTGTGCATGGACGACTTACCATCACCACAAATCAAAGATGGACTGACCCTGACAAGGGTAATCTGTTCACACTCAAATTGTGTAGGGAAACCAAACAAGCCAGCATTCTGCAAGCTGGCCCATGATAGGATTCTCTTGGAGTTGCTTAAGGAACTGGATTCACCCATGGGGGAAAAAAGAATCATCACCCAGCTTCTTCAGTTCGTGACCCATTGAAGGGTTCCTAATTAAGTGACCCATAAAGGAGGCTTGTTCGTGACCGAACCAACCAGGTGATCAAGTACGGTCACTTGGAAGAACCAGGACCCGCCCGGACCCGATGTCCGCCAAAACCACCGGTTTCGTCCGCACCGGTTCGGACGACTCTTTCGCTCCTGTCTTTCGCTCCTTCTGCTCACTGTCACGTCGGTTCGCCTGGTCCATGGACGCGGTCGGTCGGACCCGGTAGGCGTTTTCGACACACGTCGGCCACGAGAAGGTGCTGCAATGAGAAGACAAGTCGGGTGCCCAGACCGATGGATGTACGTGGCACCAGGAGTCCGACTGGCCTTTCCCTATGACCGACGTCGGTCGGACTCGCGGCTGGTGGACCACCGTCGGGCTTTCGACCCAACCGTAAACCATTGAACACAGTCGAGTCCAGCACCTCGATTGAAAAGAACTGATCCCAAGCTCACGGTGTACCTTCTACACAAAGTGTCCCTGACAAAATCTATGTTTGGGGTTCAGAACGCGCAAGCTACGCGCTTCGTGTGTGCCAGGAAGCCGGAAGCCGGAAGCTGGGACTCGGAACTGTCGCACCCCCTTGCCTCTCGCAACTCAGCCGCGCTCGTCACGCAAAGCGGCGGGCCACCTATTCCGGTGGGAGGGTTGGGTGTGCAGCCAGGAGTGCCTTTTGCTGTTTGCATCTGGCGCCCTGTGGAGCGAAAACCAACTCCACTCATGGAGTCGAAGTAACTAGCGAAAAGGGCTACCAAATAAACAAGTAATTACCTGCTCTAATAGGGTCATGTCCCATTCTCAAGGGTACGAATGAAGTAGGGTCCAGGTACGAATGTGACAACTGAATGAATTAGGAACGTCATCTGAAAATATCTGAAAGGTCCAAATCTCTTTTTAGCTCATCAAACATGGCATCGATCGCTGAGAAAAATATCCTGTCACTCTGGGAGCCCCCGAGCTGACTTAATTTCTGGAAACCTGAACCAATGGCTGACTAGATTCTGATATATATATATATATCCTGCAACCTCGTGGTTGTTCTTTTTTGGTCGGTGGTTCGACATACCTTTATTTAGGTCTGTGAACCACATAAACATCCGCAACCAAAATTAACATCGGCTAAAAAAGACGCCTTGGCTCACCAATAAACGCCCTTAGCTTGTGTATAAACGCCCTTGGAATATCATAAAAAGTCAGAAAACCAAAGAAACATCCGCAGACTCAGATATAAGGCTGTGACTCCAAAAGATGTTTTGCACGCCGCAGATCGAAAACAAGCACTCTGAGGAAGTTCCAGGTATATTTTGTCCAACTGAAGTATACAGGAAGTTCCCTTTCAGGACCCCTAAAGACCTGATGTCGGCAATCTTTTTGATAGTCCTTGACTGTCAGCAGAGTGCAGTATCTTCCAGGAGACCGCGTTCTGGACTTCATGGTCTGAATCCCGAACCATTGCTTTAAGAAGGAATTTACACTACAACAACAGGTCGAACTCTTTTGAAGGTCGAACGGGTTAGGCGAGGGCCGGGCACATCTTCTCAGGGAGTGGATTGCGAGTTGTCAGGCTGGGTCCTCATATCTTGTCAGACATGTATAGTGGATTGAGAGTAGATGGCACAGACCCCAAGAGGTGGTTTATATGGACCCCCATATAAAGGACATGTAGGGGGTTGTGCCATCTACCCAGAAACCACGGTACTTGGACCTTCACTTCGCCCCACCCCTATTCTGATCCACCCCACACAGTGGACAAACTCTATGGCTCATGGGAGATAGCCCCCATCTCCTTTATAGGCTTTCAGACTTTTTCAGAAACCAAGATTGGGTCAAATCCTCATACCTGGAGTCGAACCCTCCTACCTCAGAACATGGGTTCAAGTACCATCTGTCGTTCAAGTCATGGTAATTTTATATAGACTCTTGATTAATAACCCCGCATATGAAGACGGCTTTCAATTCAATTGGAGAGGGTTAATAATACTTATATTTATCAATATAATATATAATAGTCAAGAGTCTACATTACTTTGGAGAGTCCAAGTATCAACCCTTTCCGGGTTGCTCAAAGAGTCACTTGGAAGAATGATGGCGAACTCTGTGTTCCAACTCCATCTCTCAGGTTGCTGCTGGCTCGGAATGGCTCCGGAAGTCCGAGCCCCATCAGGCATCGCAAAGCCCCTCATTCCCCTTTTCCCAGCTTGAATAATGACTTACAGTATACACATCTGGGAACAGTGGACTCAAACAAAGCAGGATGTATCGTACAATCCCGTTCTGGTGTGTTTTGGATCATGGAAAGTGTTGCTACCGACCTTGAAGTTTCCACTTTCCACACTTTCCCATTATAAAAACATGCATATTATAAACACCCAACAGTGGGGTTCAACACGGGCGTGTTAAAAACGATCTACGGCCACGTGTTCCGACACTTCGACCGACCCCCGCGGCCCCCAGGCGCGGTGAAGGAAGTCCTTGGCCCCAGTGGAAACCAAAGAGGAATGGCTTTATGGGACCCTCTAGGTATAGGACAGCCATGGGGACTGTAGGAACAGCGCCTTGGCCCCACCTGGGGCCAAGGAAGGTACTGTATCAATGGCTTTGTACAGCGATGCGCAAAAACACCTACCCTATTGCAGTCCCACCTAAGGGTCGAAAGTGCAGCGCCAGCGTGGTCTGCGACTTCCTCGGCCTGGAAACACTCCACGTTCGAGCGAAGGAAGGGATGCGGAGCTTTAGTTGCAACAACCAACAGAGGTTGAAGAACCCTATAGACTATCCCATAAGTACCCCAGGTTACACCTCTCTTGGAAACCCATCAAAAAGGGCCGGGTCCTACCCATGTCCCACCCGAATCACGGTACCCTCAAAGGATGAAGGCTTGCTTCGGGTCCACCCCGTTCACGACCGGTCGTCGCGGAGGTCGGAGGTCGATGGAGGAAGCGAACGTACTGGTTTGCCGATCCACATTGAATGGTCATGGGTCCTGGTAGTCTTCATGAAACAGAACGAGTCTAATTGTAGGCTCTTGATTATTAATGAACTTCCCTTATGAAGAGGTGTTAAAATTCAGTTTGAGGGAGGAGTTATTCATCAAGAGTCTATTTACATTAATTGTCAAAATTAGTCTACACTCGCTGTTTACGTGGAGTTCTCCACCGGCTTGGTCTTCAGATTGACTTCAGGGTCATCAGAGTCGAACATCGTTTACTGTGCCACTTCCATGGATGAAAACCAAGTAGGGCGTCGGACATGATCCTAGATGACTCGCCTAATGGCATGAGTCAGACCAAGAAGACGCGAGACTCGCAGCTTGACAAAAAGCGGGCGACGGCCACGACAGTTCGTGGTCAGAACATCCGCCCCACCAACCACCCGTGCACGTGTCGGAGACGCGTGTCGGAGCCGCAGCCGCGGGAGCGTGAGCGTCTTTCTTTTGGACTCGGTGCGGGTTCTTGGATTCGCCCCGGTCGATGGGGGCAGCCCCGGTGTGAGCGTCTCATAACTCATGTGACTCATGCGGGCCGTCTGACTGAAAGGCAGAGGCAAAAGAGAGTCAAATCAAGATGATCAGTACAATCTGTCCAGCGATTCCAATCTCTTTTGGGCTTTCTGCGGCCGACTGCCTTGGGAACCACGAATGACCTGAAAAGCGCCGCGCCTCTCATGACGGGTGGCCGGCCCCGACGAATGAAGAAGGCGTGAACGGGACCCGAATCAGTCGAAGGTTGCTCGAAACCATGTTGAACTGTTGGAACTTGGTGGGGAAGCAACCAAAAAGCGTCACAATCCAGCGTCAAGGGATGGAAAACGATCTTCTGAACTTCGCTCCCTAGGTCCGTTGATCGGGTCACCGGGATCCCCGCTCACTCCGGTACGATGCTCTTCGGCACCGTGCGGATCACATGCGGCACTTCAGCGCGTTGCGCAGGTGCTCCGCAACGCAAAGATTTCACGTTCCCAGCAAACGAGCCCAGCCTTGTTTGGGGGGTCAAAGAAGGCGTCCATTTATCACCCCCTCAAAAAAAGAACTAAAATACATTACAAACACTATCAAACACTTCCCAACGACCAATTCTGGTATGTTCGGGGTTGTTTGCTTCATGCCAAACACAAGTACGGCACATGTTTCTTCCACTGGTTCAGCTGGGAACGCTCTGGAAGACCTCCAACTCGTCCCTCCCTCAGCGACTCACCGAACGGCGCAGGACTTCGCCTGCGTCGCCGACGTGAGCGGAGGGGGCGCTCCATCTCTCTGGGTACGTCCCTGGTCGAACACTCCGGAGTAAGAGGTGTTGGTTGACCAACTCCAGTAAAACGAGGGTTTAGGGTTTAGGGTTTAACTGGTCATTCACCTGTTGGGAGAACTATTTCAACATATGTAAATACGACTCCTTTTTTTTGCGACTGGTCTACTCTGTCGCAACCGGCATTTGCTCAGTTCGCAGTCCCAGGATGTGGTCGCATCACTCTCGTTGAACCCACCATGAGTGGTTGGAAGATAGCCCACCATGTAGACACATACGTCCACTTTCTCCTTTCCACTCAGGATGGCGGAAATAGAACTTATCCAGAGCTCCAGACTTTGAAAGCGCAACGAACTCTACCATGAAATTTGGCCAGAGGTCCGCAATGATTGCAGAAACGTTTTTTCTTTGCTCTCGGAAACTCAGACTTCTGCATGTCTGAATATTGATAGTATCTTGCAGCCGATGGTCTGATTATGCCACCTTGAGATTCAGGAACCAAAACTTATTGAAAGGACTTCACGATTAAGTCTGTTCTATAAACATCGGTTCTTCATCCAACAAGCAGCTTCCAGAGAAAGACCTTGTTCTTTCTGTACATTATAAGCTATTATAAGTACCGTATGATTTTGTCAGTCATGTTTTCCATGTTCGGATAAATTGTTTTGGGTCGCTTCCCAGAGCTGAACAAGCTGACCCCTTGAATTGTTGCACCCCAAAAAGAAGGGTCAGACTGATGTCGACCGTCCACCTCTCCCCAGTACGGCAGGGACGTGGTAGCGCCTGCATCGTGGACAGCGCTCGCCTGGGCAGCGCTAGCTCAGGGTGACCAGGCAGCCCTCGGCACAGCATCGGGTCGGCACATGGGGTCGGCTGGTTTCGAAACGCAGGGAGCATGGGAACAGGTTCAGCAGGGTGTACAAGGGCACCCAAGCAGGGCACGGATTTTCATCAATGGCAGAACTTGCGTAGGACCGTAGGACACATTGACCTTATTTTACTGGAGTTGCGCACACAAAAACCATCAAGAACACCAGTCAACGAGGTTTTCAGAACTGGGTTTTACTGGGTCAGACTGGACCTGTAGGGGTTGTCCCTTCTCCGGACACAATTCATCACGTCCCAAACAAAAACACCTAAGGACGACATCTCCAAGTGTCCAAGACACTTGCACCCTCGAGGATTTTTCAGCTGCTTCTCAGCTGCATGTTCCAGCTGAGCATGGAGCTGGGTGGTGTGTTGTTCGTCCCGGTGAGTGGTGGACGTCCCAATGAGTGTGAACTCCATGGAAAAACTGCGGATGAATCCCTTGCTTTTCCTCCCTCTCCCAGCTGATTCCCCTGTTTTCCACCTCAGGTCCATCCCTCCGGAGGAGATGTGGCCAGGCCACGTTCCTCAACATGAGGTCTTTTCTCCCAGGACCCTCCTGTCGGGGTGTCCTGGCTGGACTACCCCACACTACCGGCCTAGGCTTCCAGACAGGGCACCCCGACAAAAAGGTCCTGGTCTGTCTCCGAACTTTCCATCTGTTCATGCGCTGGGGATCCGTTTTCCTTCGGCACGACTGGACCCGACCGTGGCAGCGGCAAAGAAGAGTGGAGACAACACATCACCGCAGCTGGGAAGGTACGAATGGATCCCTGGGGGTGTTGAGTGGGGTGTCTCCCCAACTCCTCCCCCACCTGGGTGTCCCGGTTGGAAAGGTCTTCCAGCCCACTATCCGAAATCCGAGATGTTCGGTTGTGGATGGTCCACGCACGTGATCCATCACCCATACACTCCATGGGACTGGAATATATGCCGCCCCCCTGGCACCACCCCTGGCCATTTCTCGGCAGTCCTATGGCAGGCCCAGACGGGTCGCGTCTGGGGGTCATGGGACTTTCCCAAAACTTGGACTTCGAGCTCCCAACTCTCGCCAACCTCCCAACTCCTGCCCAGCGGCGACGAGGGCCAGCGACGGGACGGTTTGCGCTCCCAGGCCCAAGACGACACTGTCCTGAGCGGAGTGGTTCTGAACCGTGCGGCTTGGCGCACTGCGCCGAGGGATGCCAAATATGAAAAATGTGGAAGCCACCATTAAAAAAAAACACAGCAACCCCTAACAATGATGATTTCTGGTGTCTTGTTGGTAAGACTCTCGGCGCCGTGTTTCTCGTTTCTGTCGGTGTTTCTCGTTGCCATGACCACGAGAGAAAGCGCATGAACGGAACAATGACTCACATGCCCATGGCCTGCACGGGTGTGAGTTCAATGAAACCAAACATCCAGTGAACCGAGAGACTTGGTACCTGATACAGTACCCTCGTACCAACTTCAGGACCGGAAACAAAAACAAGTACTCTCCATGTATCTGAGTCTTGATGAATAGTCCATGCCAGGGGATTCACCCATGTTCTTAGAAAATACCACCAGAATCACCCTCCATGGCAAGGGTCGGACCTTCTCCATCTCCACAGGGCTCCGGACGACCCCTAACCCTTCTCATGTATCTTTCTAAGGTACTTGGCAAATTTGGCCCGATATATTCCCGTCCCAAACAGGTCGTGTCTGGGGATGGTACCGACATATACATCGTTGGGTGTTCTGCTTGGACATCTCGGATAATAGCGCAGGGTAGTCCAACCAGGACACCCAAACAGGATTGACTCCCTCAGTTTCCCTTGAGTAAAAGGTTAACCTTTGTCAGTTCATATTGAAGAAACCACTCCCCAAAGAAGGTTAAAGGTTGTCTACTTAATGGGTAGGTTCATGGAGTGTCACTCACTCGTCACTTCTCTGTCCGCCCAGGTCTCTGCTGTCGTGGTGGCGTTGGGATCCTCGATCGGTCTCGACGCCATTGACACCACGCGACAAAAACCCGGTGACTATACACAAAAAACAACGGAACATGGAAGTTGTAAAGTGGGCGCTCAAAATGTTTCACGATTTGTTGATGGGTTTTCCCTTACTCCTCTGAGGAGTGTAGACCATTGATGAATAAATTTGCAATTGTTCTGATAGGAGGGATTTGCATGGATTTACGAATCAACCGTGCACGAACACGAACAGGAAAATTGTTGTTTCCATCTTTAAAATAACTATTCGGTCACGGGCGCGCACTGGTCGCCTGGTACAAAACGAGGCCTGTGTTGTAAAGCCCCTTGTGAATGGAGCTTTCATGGAACACAGTGAAAAATGCAGGTTCAAAAACAATGCGTTTTCATCAGTGCGGACCGCATATGTTTGACTTTTTATCGGCCGCTGTCTCGGATCACTTGCATCAGAGCTTCCAGCACATCTTTTGGTGCTGATTTTTTCAGCTCTCTTCTCCAAGCAAACTCCCAGACTCGTCTTTCAATGGCAGGGCTATGTGCGGATGAACCATTCACTGTGACCTTCTCGGCAAGTGAGTAGGAATGAAGCTTTTCACTTCCACGTTCGATCTATTTGCTGGGTCCCTGCT